TAAACATAGATTAGAAAACTTAAAGAAAATTCTAGATGCTAAAAGAAGGAAAACATTCTAATCAGGAAGTAGCACACAAGAAAGCTAGTTAATGTCTCATTACTTAACCTGGATAGAGTACAAAGCTGCTTATTATTCATGCTACCAAACTCTTAGGCTGTCTATATTCTTTTCATGCAAAATCTATGGTGCTTTTTTTGTTGTTGTTCTGAAGTGATGAGAAAAGTGTGGCCATAAAGGATTATGGGAGCCCTGCCTTTTCTATACTCTCTGTCCCCAAGTGGCAGTCACTCCTTAACTCAGAGCACTCATGCAGGATGCCACTGCTTTCAATATTCTCTTCATCTATGTGTACACACATGGGCAAACCTCTCTCTCTGCACATACAAATGTGTGTGCACACACACAGGGAAAAAAAAAATTCAACTATGTGAAGGAAAAAATACTGGTTTAATTCTCAAAACTGGAGAGGGAATAATAAAACACAATAACTATATATCACTTTTGCCAGTTCATAAACACTATTACGTACTCCTTTATTTTCATCCCAAAACAAGCATCAAGTGCATAGAGAAAGAATCACAGGGATCAAATACTATGGAAACCTCAATACAACGTCAAAAAGAATTGTCATCATCTTTTTCCATTACTGTATCTTAGATTTTTCTTTGCTACTCCAAGGTCAAACAGATGTGGCAATACAATAAAAGCAAACAGGGAAAGTAGTGAAAAGAAATGAAAGAGGTAAGCCAGGCACCAGTGGCTCACGCCTGAAATCCTAGCTACTCAGGAGGCTGATATCATAGGATTGCGGTTCAAAGCCAGCCCAGGCAGGAAAAATTGTGAAACTCTTTATCTCCAATAAACCACCAGAAAACCGGAAGTGGTGCTGTGGCTCAAGTGGTAGAGCACTAGCCTTGAACTGAAGAGCTGAGGGACAGCGCTCAGGCCCAGAGTTCAAGCCCCATGACTGACCAAAAAACAAACAAACAAACAAACAAGAAATGAAAGAGGTAAAAAGTAGGTAGGCATAACTACTTTGCAAAATGGTTTTAGTATCTACTAATGCCAGTGTCTGCATACAACATTACGTCTGCATAATGAATAAATACATTCCAGGCCTTTTTTTTTTCCTAAGCAAGTTAGCAAATTTTACTATGGAGAAATTATAATCACCCTCAGGAAGAAAATTACTTCACTTAATAGGTATCCCCACTGGCATCAACTCTGGCAAAAATAAGCTCCTGGAAACAGCTCTAAAGAAGCTATGGACCACATATTGTTCAGAAAAAAGACTGAAATAGGTGGTAGCAACTCTTCTGTTTGCTTATTTTTCAAGTAAGGTCTTGTTTTTCTTGCCTAGGCCAACCTATTTTATGCTTTGTTAATGTAGCTAGGATCAAAGGTGTATGTTATTATACCTAGCATCCTCTTTGAGATGTAGTCATGCAAACTTTCTTTGAGAAGGCTGGCCTCCTGATCTCAGCCTCCTGAGCAGCTAAGATCACAGAATATGAGTCACACTGCCCAACTAGGTTTACTAAATCTTATTAAACTATGTATGACTCACATTGAACTTTCGTAATATAGTGAAGTTAAAAAGAGAAAACTACTAAAAGAAGATTTACATAAAATATTGGAGTCTTTCAGTATTTAACTTCTATTAGCATTTGGGAAGCCTGAAAGAAATCCTGAAAAGGAACTGTGATTTTTTTTCATCATAATTTTGTTCTCACTGTACAAACAAAACACAAAGTCAGTTTGTTCAGTGGGTATTACCTGAAATTTCAGAGGTCATAATGACAAAAAAGAAAATTAAGAGATTCACAGAGCTATAAAAAATATTTTTAAAAAAGATTTCTGTTGTGCTGGTCATCATCAATTCACCCATATCTAACCAGTTACGTTTTCTCTCATTATTAGAGGTGGCCTAGTCTTATTAACTAATATTTAATCATGTTTTGTGACTTAGAGCAATATACTCAGCAGAACATACAGTATCTGGCTCACACCAGCAATTTAACATCTTTTAGGTATTTCTCATCCTTTCTTACCTCCTACTTCCTTTGATACTGAAGCTCCTGATCAGAAAGTCACCCCAGACCATCAAACAGAGAAATATCATAAAACAAATATCTCTTGATTATAATAAGCTAAACTGTAAGCTCCCTGTCTGGGTATTTCAGTCATGAAATCTACTTATGCCTTGAGAGGATTCCTAAAACCCAGATCCAAAAATGATCATCTACTTTCTTGCTCCCAGACTGAGCACATAGAGCATTTTTCAAAAGGTGGTCAAATATCATATATATCAAGTAGGCCAGAATGTAATACACAGAATATCGAAAAATCCTAAGCAAATAATATAAAACAATTTACCCAACTAACAGAATATTTGCACTCACACTTATAGTAGGAGGAGCCTTATTTAAGCTAGTCTTAAATGAGCAGATTCCATTAGTCTAATTTGATGGCCACCAGGAATTCTAAGATGAAGTCTTTGCTCATATATGAACTAAAATATACAACCCTTAGCAAGGTGACCTAGAAAGAAAACTGAACTGAGAGAAGTCAGTGTCCTTTATCAACTATAGGTTTAAGTTTGGGCTACTAAATAAAATACAAACATTGATTTAGAACCAAATACAAAGGTAGCCACAATTCAAAATTAATATTTTATTCCTTGGTTACAAGCTGTGCATCTGAGCTCATGTGAAAATGCTAAACGCTTAAACAATGTATTCTTGAATCAAAAACCAAGTTCTACCATCGAGTTCAACTCCATGACTTCAGATAAAGACCATCACTACCATCAATTGAGATCTTCTCAACGGATAAAAAAAATTGGAAAAGATCAAACTTGAAGATCTAGAACAAAAATTAAATTATATGACTAAGTACAAACTGCTCTTGTTTCCTACTTACCTGAAATTATAGTAACAACTACTGATCCCAGAATGCCCAGTGTTTCTGGCACTAGGTTGCTACAATTTCTCATTTGCTCCACAAACTTACAAGTTAGGTATTATAAAAACGAAGAAGTGAAGCTAGGCACTGGTGGCTCACACCTGTAATCCTAGCTACTCAAGAAGCTGAGATCTGAGTATAAGAGTTCGAAACTACCCCATGCAGGAAAGTCCCTGAGACATGAAGTAAGTTACTCAGAAAAAGCCTGAAGTGGCACTGTGGCTCAAGTTGTAGAGCACTAGCCTTAAGCACAGACAGACTTAGGATAGCACCTAAGCCACGAGTTCAAATCCCAGGACCAGCAAAAAGAAATAGAAAAGAAAAATGAAGAAATAAAACAAATGGCTTACCAAATAGCAAACAGTCATAAAAATGTTGATGCTGTGTTCTGAGTTCAGACCAGCATGAACAACTCACATTTTTCTCTTCAACAAGTTTTTTTTGATACTTTAATTTAAAAAATACTGTACAGAGGGGTTACAGTTACATGAGCAAGGTAATGAGTACATGTCCTATCAAGCATTGTTACCTCCTCCTTTGTTTTTCCCCTACCCTCCCTTCCCTCTCACCTCCACAACTACACTAGACACCTCCTCCGCCCGCAACCCCCTCTCTCCGACTAAATTGTAAAGTTCATTTTTCAACATAGTGTCTTGTACATCTCATTGTTAGAGTGGGTCAACCTGTATCCCTATTTAAGCATTTTGTTTTTTCCCTTCCCCTCCCCAAGCTAGAGAAGTGTATATACAAGATGCAGGGCACCGACAAATACAGTGGAAACAGGTTATACCATGGGGGAGGAACATACTAAGCAACAAAAAAAATCACATGCACTGCTCCCAACACTGTTCATTGCGAAGATATGTTATTCTTTCCATCCTTATCCATGTGCCATTTCATTGAGTTTGTGGCCTCTCTCATTGTCCAAAATACCAAAGCTAACAGAGTTTTCTGCTGTTCATACATATCTGAGAGATTATTTCTTATTCTTTCAGTTTGATGACTACTGACCATTGATCTGTAAGATATTTTTAGGATTTTGGATTGTATATACAATTAACTTCACAAAAAGACTGAATAAATATACAACTTGGGGGCCCGCTAGGAAAATGTGTGTTTGGTGAGGTCATTGTGTTTTGCTCCAAGTATATTTTGACTTGAGTAAGTTTGACACTAGGCAATTTGGGATGATTGCTGAAGTCAATTTTTTTAAAAAAAAAATATCGTAAAAGTGATATACAGAGAGGTTATACTAACAAGAGACAGATAATGAGTATACTTCTGTTTACACAGTGTTCACAAGTGTTTTTTTTTTCTTTCTTGCTATTGTTTCTAACATATTTATAATGTACCATGTGATTTTTTTTTTGTTGCTTCTTTGTATGTTCCTCCCCCACGGTATAACCCCAACATCACTGTATTTGATGTCGGTTCCCTGCATCTTGTATATACACTTCTCTAGCTTGGGGACAGGAAGGGAAAAAACAAAATGCTTAATTAGGGATACACGTTGACCCATTTTAACAATGAGATGTACAAGACACTATGTTGAAAAATGAACTTTACAATTTAGGTGTGTGGGGGAGTAGTATAGTAGTAGAGGTGGGAGTGAAGAGAAGGTAAGGGAAAAACAAAGGAGGTAACAATGCTTGATAGTAAATGTACTCATTACCTTGCTCATATAACTGTAACCCTCTGTACAGTATTTTTACAATAAAAAACATATTAAAAAATCACATGGTACATTATAAATACCTTAGGAACAATAGCAAGAAAGAAAAAACCACTTGTGTCCCTATCTTGGGGTTCATTTAGCTTAACATCATCTTATCTGGTCATATGTACATAGCTTTTGACCCCTTCTGCTTATCCTAGACATATACTGCAGGGTTTTTAGTGTGTGCTATATATAGGCATTATTTCTATACATATCTAAACAGATGGCAGAAACCCAAATAACTTTAGGTTGAAAGGAAGATGATCCCTTTTACAGCTTAGTATATTAGAGCTGTAAATGTTTAATATGTACTCACCTGATGCAGCAGACGCTTCAGTTTCAGTAATTGAGTTTTCACAGCCGTACAGTCTTGGACCATGTGCCGAAGGGTCATCTCATCCAGTATCACTGTATTTTCTGGCACATCTACAAACATCTTCTGGGACTGAAAAAAGGGGGTCCCTCCATAGCTTTCAAAATGACCCAAAGGAGATTCTCTATAAGGAGAGCCTCTGGAATGGCAGGAAAAAAGAAAGACATACAATTTCAGAAAAAAAAGATAATGAAATTATTTCAGCAGTCTACAAATAATTTACCATGATCATAAAGTTTCTGAATTTATACCTGCTTCCATCACTGAATGTATTTCCACTGGAAGGCATAATTAACTCTAGCTGTCATTAGAATTATTGTCTATATCACTTCTACCCTGCCTTTTCTTACACATTGGTTGAATAAAACTTCTTTCTTAAGAACCAGAAAAAACAAATATTATGATAAGGCTTTAGCTAAAAAAATTATACCTAGCCAACATTTTTCCATGGTGTCTGCTTGTTCTTTAGCTTTTGCATTGCTCGTCATCTTAAATTTTCACTGTTTTCAGCCCTGTTAACTCTGATGCCTACACTTATTAGCCCATATCAGTTCCCAGTTTGGACACACCTCTGGACTACCATTACCTAAATGCCTCAGCAAGCAGTTGAGACAGATGAACTATTACTCTTTTGATTTTAAATTATTGATAAATCATCTTTCCTAATAAAAAATTAAACAGATTTTACTAAAGGCTGCATCAAGATGCATTACACATGGATGGACTTGTTAAACTGAATGAACCCCCTCCTGACAACTATTTGAGGTTAATAGTAATAATAGTATTAATAATAAAGAAATATTCACTAACACCAATATTATTTACACTGTTCTGTAAGTATAGCCAATAAAATCAACCAGAAAAAAATAGGATGCACACAAAGGGAGTCCTTATTTTTTTGCCCATTTAAACTGAATCCAAGCTGGCTGTGATAGTGCACACCTGTAATCCCAGCACTCAGGAGGGTAAAACAGTAGGATGATGAGCCTATATAGTGAGGCCTTGTTACAAAACTGGAAGGGAATGGGGGAGAGGAGAGGAAATTCTCATTCTCTGCGATGAGACTATGAAGCACAAACAATAAATCACAACTCACACCAAATCCTGCAAAGGAGATCTATTTGAGTAGTTTACATATTCCTTTTAACTTTTCAAAGCTTTTGTATGTGTGTGCCAGTCCTGGGCCTTAAATTCAGGGCCTGGGTGTTGTCCCAGAGTTTTTTGGTATTTTCTTTCTTTCTTTTTGTAGTTTCTGTATATATTTTCTCTCTTTTTCATTGTCAAGGTGATATACAGAGAGAGGGGTTACAGTTATATAAATAAGTCAATAAGTACATTTCTTATCAAACTTGTTACCCCTTCCCTCATTTTTCTCCTGCTTTTCCTCCCCCCTAGCCTTCCTGCCTGCCCCCCACCAAGTTGTACTGATCATTTCCAACATATGCTCTATCACTTGAGCCACAGCTCCACTTCTGGCTTTTGGGGTAGTTAGTTAATCAGAGGTAAGAATCTCATAGACCTTCCTGCCCGGGCTGGCTTTGAACCTTTATCTTCAGATCTCAGCCTTCTAGGATTATAGGCATGAGCCACTGATACCTAGCAATCTTTCAAAGTTTTTGAGAGAAGGAAAGAATTATGAGCCAGAGGATGGAGAGGAAGAGGAAAAAGGATAAAGGAAGAGTAGAATGAACTTGATGAACTGATGACAGAAACTCCCCAAATTTTATTAAAAAATTAATTTACATACTCAAGAAACTCAACAATCTACAAGTATAAGCCAATGAGAGACCCATCTATACACATTAGAATTTACCTTTCAAAATCCAAAGAAAAACTGAGGATCCTATGCAGCAAGAAAAAGGGACTCATCATGTGGAAAAAGTATTCAGCAAAATTATGAGGTGATTTCTCACCAGAAAGTACAATTGAATGTTACAAGAAAATTCTAAATCTGGCAAAAATTACCTTCAAAATAGGGAGAAACTAAGAAAAGTAACAAAAGATGGGAGAATTTTCACTAGCATATCTTCCTAAAAGATAGTGAACTACCTCTAACACTTCCACTACCTCATCTTCAAATGACAGATGATCGAACAATGTAATGGAAGATTGGGAAACACTATACACCAACAAAATAAAACAGCCACAGACAGAATTCTGCAAACATTAAACTAGTAATCAAAAAACTTGCCACAAGGAAAATACCAGGTCCAAACAAAAGTTAGCAAAAATAGTTCACAAAATTCCCCAAAATAAAAGTATAAGAAAACTTTTTACAATTCATTATATGTGGTTCAGATGCCAAAATTTCAAGTATCTCAAAAACTATAGGCTGGTATTTCTCAAGAACATATACATAAAAATCCTCAATAAAATATTACCAAATTGAATCAGACAACATGAAAGAATTATGTAATATGAACAATTGAGAGCTAATCAAGAAATAAAAAGTTTGACATCTTAAAAAAAATCAATATAATATGCCATACTATTAGGATGAAACAAAGAGTAAAATATAATCTCAATGAAATACAGAAAAAACATTTGATGAAATTCAACATTAATGATAGAAACACTTAACAAACTATGAATAGAAGGGAACTTCTTCAACATATGTAATTTCTCTCCCTTCTCCCCCATACACGTATATGTGTATGTATATAAATACACATATTACATATGCGTGCACATACAAATATTTTACTCAACAGTAAACTCTGTTTTCTCCTTAATATCTAGAAAATAAATACAGCTATTGGCTTCATCGGAGGGTTTAAAAATCTATAGCAACTGTACAAGAGAAAGAAGGAAAGTATCCATAAAGAGAATTGTAAGGAACTAAGAAGGTTAAATAAATCATTTACATAACACTAGAGCTACTGGGACTATATCAAAGCTCATAAATGAATGAGAAAAGTGAGCCAGGGGGTTATGATTTTCTTAAACTGTAGGGATGGATTCATAAAGAGGAAGTGAGTCAGCCAAATGTGCTAACTGTCCAAAGGAGGAAAAAGGACTTAAGAAAACTTCATCTAGAAGGGACAAGGAAGAATAAGGACAAAGACCTCACCTCTAAATGGTAAAGTTCTACAGTTACTGGAAAAAAAGAATCCTTCCTGTAAAAATGCTGCTGGGGCAAAGAACAATCAGGAAAGGGCTGGATTTCAGTTACAGGTAGAATGTAGGCAAATGGGGTCAAGGGTGGTCAAAGTTGTGAGTTTGTAAGGGTGTGAGAAAATACCATATGATATAGTAGAAGTGTCTGGAAAAGGAAGGTCTTGAGAAAAGAGAGGTGGATGATCAACTGTGTTAAGAATGAGAGTAGTAATATGCTGTCAATGAGAGAATATCAGTTTCCAAGGCATAATCCTTTAACTATGACAATGATGAAAGAGTTTTCATCATTGGAGGTTTTTTTTTAATATTACTCATCCTCATTATTGGTTCTGGGAGATACAAAAAACTCAACAAGGTCACCAGTAAAGGTTAAACAAAACTGTCACCTACTACTATTAACAACAAATCAGTGAACCTGAGACATTAGAAAGCTGTGTTCTAAGATTAGCAATCTCCATAAACATCATGCATTTCTCTCTCAGTAAGGAATCACCAATGTGGATGATACAGATTTACAAATGCTAAGCAATTTAATATATATACTCTCTAGAAAGGATTTGTATTTGTGTCTGTTGTCTCTTACCATCTTTTTTGCAAAATCATAGTACTACACTTACACATTACAAGAGTATAGAACCCACCGTTTAAACAAATAACTAATTTATTCATTCTCATACTCATTTGATCAGAGAACCTGTCTCTTCTACACCTGTTGACATCTAGGAAATAAAATTGTGTTAGTTTGAATGCTGCTTAGTTTTTCTGGCAGATGATGACAATTTCAGATTGATCATCCCCAAGAACAGAGAGACCTACCTCCAAGTATTTCATTCTATTTTGGACATTCCCATGTTTAAGGTGAAATTTGTCACCTCTTATCTTAAAATGCAGATAATATAGTTTGGCTATCTAGAGTTAGAGATCACATCTAATCATTCCTCCAAATGATCAAGCAATCCTGCTATGGTAAATTTGAAGTGTAGTTCTTGGAAAATGTCACATCCTATCATACAAGTTTTTACTCATGCCATTTTTCCTGGTGAAATACCCAACCTTCTCCTATAGAACCAAACCATCTTCTGTCTCCACAGCCTTTCCTTTAATATCAGATAAGTAAAAATAGTAACACTCTTTTGTCTGTGCTATCCTGCCCACTCCCCCAGAAAAGCCATTGCATGCTCATGGCGTCACTTACACATTACCCTAAAGGCACACATCATCACTGTATCAGTAGCACCACACTAAATGTCTATATTCTGCTCTTTCCTACAGAAGTATATATATCATTTTTGTATAGAATGGGACAAACAGCCAAAGTAAGTGCTGTGATGATATTTACTCTGTGTAAGTGCATTCTTTCACATCATCTCAATCATTCATCACCTCTCATGAATTTTATACCAACAAAAAGATTTTCGGTCTGACCCCATTACTTCATGATCAGCTGAAGAACTTCCTTTCTCAGCTGGATTAGAATTTTTGTACCATGGTTTAACAAATATAAGTAAGAAAAAGACTTAAATTTATTTGGATAAGTACTCACGACCTTCCCACCATAATCCAAAGTACTCTAAGAATTCATGTTAAAAAAATTTTTTTATCTTATAAAATCAAATCAATCCAGAAGTATATCTATACTCTGTAACAGATTTTCTACTTTGCTTTTGCTACCAAGATCTTGGAAACAATTTTATTTTCTACATTAGGGAGTATACAGGACTGTATGTTTTCCTTTCTAATTTATCTCAGTTTCATTAGTTTGCTCCAGAATGAGCTCAAATTCTCTGTGGGTTGAGATAGATAAAAGAGAAAAATAAGAGTAACAACAAAGGGGTGCCTATGTAAACCAGAGACTGCTACAGGCATTTTCATCCCTGATGCTCAAATACTGAAGAGAAAGGTACGTTTTATAGATGATAAGCTGAAGTAGGGAGGGGATTTAATAAACTGTCTAAGCTTGCAAGGTTTATCTGTATAAGGTGGTACTTTGATCTTAAGTTTTAATGCCTACAAAGTGGCATTACACATGAGGTAGATGTCTAGCATCTTTTCTAGTATTGTCTTCTAATTCTAAAGGGGTTAGTAGAATCTTTCAATTTCAACTTATAAGCAAAAAAAAAGACAAATCACCTGTTATTAAATTTATGTATTGTTTAGAAAAATTATAAACTTTAACCAGGTCAATATTTAATCATTCTCAAATGAGAACTAAAACAATAAAAATCATATACTACAACTTAAAAGTCCAAACCACAGATATACAGTATCTATATTTAATAAAGCTATAATTAGACCAAAAGGGAGCAATTAAATATTATTCTAATAAGTATCACGTGTGACCTGAAATGTTTTTGTGGTACCTCTAAAAGGTAGACAAAATTAGTTTGTGAAGGGGAATTATTATCCAAATTAACCAGATGATAGCAAATGAAAGATAAGTTAGAATAATACTCACCTGCTCAGGTCACTTTTCCCATGGTGATGATAGTGGTCAGGATGGCTGAGATGGTAATGTTCTTGTCCAACCCACCTCTGAGGTGGCCTTTTCCAAAATCCTTCTTGAGACTGCCGAACATTTCTGTCTGATCGGTCAAAGCGGTTCATATTGTCACACTCCACTACACAGATTCAAAAGCAAAAGACAATAAACATGCACACACTCTACCTAAGGTTACTTTATGGCTGCATAATGAAGGCTGCTGAAAATATTAAAGTAATATTATCACCAACTAGTTTTGCTTGTTTGTAACAAAATGAAGTTTCCAGAAGAAAAACAACTGGTTCTTTTGGTAAAAACTAAGCTTTACATTATTCAAACTCAGAAAAATTGTAATACATTTATGTTACTTTTATATTAGTCACTTAAGTGGAAAATTAACTGCTGCATTATTTTAAAATAAGCAAATCTTTGACATCAACATCATGCATTTCCCTATGCCAGCAATCAGTTTCAAGTGGCATTCATCACTATTACAAGTTGTTTCTGGTTTCAGAATGAAAATGACAGGGGGAGAAAAGCAGATTTTAGGAACAGTACAGAGTTCATTTCTAAAAATGAATGCCACAATTAGTTTTCTCAGCTTTCAAGCAGTAAAATTAACTTTTCATCACAAATCATTTTTAAAATTAAGCTCACATTTTTAGAAAGTAATATGCTTCTATCTGCCTACCGTAGCGTTTCTTCAAAAAGCTTAAAAATGCTACTGGAAACAAAGCCAGTACTTTGCAACAACAAATAGTGCACTCGCTGAAATTCAAATACCACAGAAACATGAAAAGAATCTATCTGAAACACCCCAAGCTTCTTCACTTACCCAAATACTTTTTCCTCACATATCTGAGCACTCTCTAAGAGAGTTACTTTGTACAAGGGAGACATTGTGCTACCAGCTGCCTACTCAGACATAGTTGCACACAAGACACTGCCGAGCAGGCCTTCCTTCCTGCTCAACTCCCAGCCCTCCCTGTGGGAAGCAAGCCCAGTCCGCCCTGTGACTCCATCTTCGCCCAGTGCTTACATAGCTACTGACTTAGGACTGTTACTAAAAATACTATTAAACACTAACCCGCGGAACAGGAAGGATTTCTCCAGTCCAAGAACTACTACATGAGAAAGTTCAAGTCTGGAGTGTGATTAAAAAAACTTCAAATATCCACAGAATTCCTGATTCTTAAAAACAATTCACTTATTTAAAAATATTGTTTTACTTAACTGGATTTGAAATGCGCTAAGTGTTTTATTATAGTATCTCAGATGAGAACAAACCTTCCATTGCAAGAAAAGATGATGCAATTAAATGAAGTACGTAAGTTCAGTTCTCATATACACTGAGCTCATTTTCTTCAAATGCATAACAACTTAAATAAGCATCTGTTTAGAATACTGAAATTTTGTTTGAATTCATTAAAGGTGTCAGTAGGTACAGACAGACATCTTACAGGGCTTTTTTCTTTTTTAAAAAACAAAGAGGTATAGGTACTTTTTGAAGTTAACATTTGAAATTATTTCCAACCATTGCTGAAATAAACCCAGATGAATATTTTAAAGGTTCATTTATGAATAAACCTAACAAAGTAAAAGGCACAGCAATTGCTACTTAAAAAATCAATAGAAAATGAGAGCTCAAAAGAAAATTTTAAAAATAAATCTTAAGATTTAGAACTGATTTTAGTTAAATCCCTTTGGTAACGTAATTTATAAACTCATGTTTGAGTTATACTCATGATTTCAGTTAAGTCCCATAAGTATTTCCACTTGGCATTACTCTAGCTTAAGCAATTCTGTATAGCTGATACATGGTATGCATACATACATACACACATACATGCAAACTTGTAAAGGTTTTGAATTTATATTTTTCCTAATTCACTTCCAAACCATATTATCAGAATCATCCAAAATGTTCTTAGAACAGTATCAACACAGTATACCCAGAGTAACAAAAAGCAATCAAACCAGGCAAGCTAGCCAAGAAATAAGTTAAATACTGTGAGCAGTTACAATGCAGAAACTGATCTGCTACTTTTGAGTCTGCAAAGGTTGTTAGTGCTACATGCAGACTCCAAATTGCATATCTTTACTGACATTCACATTCAACAGTGGGCATTATAACAGCAAATAAGCATTAGAAACAAGTAACTGCCATAACTACAAAAAGACTGATGTTCAGACTGAGACAGATGGCCTAACTATAAAAGAAATGGCTGCTCTAATACTTGGTGGATAGTAAGCTGCCTGTGATCCTATCTGAGGCACCTGAGGGACCCATCAGTCACATGTTTATATACTTTACAACACTAATGTAAGATAACATTAGTGTTTGTTTCTTAGGCAAGATTAAGGTTCTCTGACAGAATGAAATAGAATATATATAGTAATATATATAGTATAAATATATATATATGTATATATATATATATCTAGTAATATAGAAAATGGAGAACAAAATTGCAAGATGGAGAAAAATCAAGATTAGTTTCCAGAGTCTGACAAATTAAGAACAGAATAATACATCTAAGGAGGAAAGCTCCTCTGTGTAACAAACAATATAAGGTGCAATGGTGCCTGTGGTAATTCCCAAGAAGTAATGGTGACCCTAAAGGCATCCCAATTCAAAAATCCTAAAGCAAGAGTGCTCATCCAAACCAACTACTGGCCAGATTCAGACCTGAACAATGAACTGCAGAGCCCTGTTGGAGAATAAACAGAAGCCTTCTGAGGGAGTCTCAAGCTCTACAGGTAACAGTAGATTTTAGTTCTTTTAAGTAATATAAATTATGTAATATAAAAAGCACTTTTACCCTCTGGAGAAGGAAAGGGATCTAAAATAGGAAAGTATATGCTATGAGGATGCCTATTGTATAAGTCATTTTTTTACTACTGAAATAGGAAATTTCCAAAGAAGGAGATAAATTGGAAGTAGTCAAAGGTATTACTGACCTCTTATATCTCAATACAAAATTTACCAGAAATGTAAACTAATAGAATTTAATACAAAGTGCAATTTAATTGGCACTGTAACTTTCTGTAGGATTCAGAAAGTGACTAGAAGGACATATTTTTAAACAAAGAAAAATCTAAATAGCATGGATAAAATGAAAAATTGTATACATTGAAAGTATACATTATGGAGTTTGTGAACTTGAGTTTTGTGCTGTGATATGCCAAATACCATGTTTTAGTCTACAGGCAATGAGTGGACATGCAAGAGAAGAAAAAACAAAAAACAAAAACAAACTCAACACCTGGCTCTGGTGGTTCACGCCTATAATCCTAGCTACTCAGGAGGCTGAGATCTGAGGGTCACGTGGTTCGATGCTGGCCCAGGCAGGAAAGTCTGTGAGCCTCCAAAAAACTCCAATAAACTAGCAGGAAAAAAAAAAAGCTGGAAATGGCACTGTGGCTCAAGTGGTGGAGTGCTAACCTTGAGAACAAAGAGGCTCAGGAAGCGCCCAGGCCCAGACTTCAAGCCCCAGGTCCAGCAAAAAAAAAAAAAAAGCAACACAACTGTGCAGACTTTGGGAAATCAGAAAGACAAGCAATCTCTTCCAAAAGATACTCAATGCAAAAAAGTATTTCCTTCAGAAAGCCCTTGATTTGGGGGGATCAAGGAAAAAGAAAAATATCTTTTAATTTAAAAAATATCCTATTATGTCCCTCCCAAAGAATAACTCAAACTTAGAATCCTTTATTATTTCTCATACCCCACTTTGTGATCCTTGATTTTCCTGACCCACTTCTTTCTACGACATGTTGCTCCCACCCCCAACCTGACCAGACCTCAAAAGTGAAGTATCTCTTATATAAACTTCCTTTAGAACAGAGAACAAAATATACAAAGTTGATTTCAAGATCTGGTCTACTATAGCCACATAATCTTCAATAAGCTAAAAAAATAAAATGGAAGAAAGACAGTCTTTTCAGTAAATGGTGCTGGCAAAGTTGGTTAAACACCTGTAGAAAACTAAAGCTAGATCCCCATACAACACCCTGCACCAGAGTCAACTCCAAATGGATCAAAGACCTCAAAGTCAAAGCAGACACCCTGAAAACATTACAGGAAGGATTAGGATAAACTCTAGGGATCCTTGGCAAAGGCCAACTTTTTCTTAATAAAGACCCAGAAACACAACAAATTAAAGGTTGGACAAATGGGATTGCATGAAATTGCAAAGTTTCTGCATAGCAAAGGACACAGAGCTAGGAAGGTCATAGAAAACCCACAAATTGGGAGAAGATCTTCACTAGCCATACAATGGACAAGGGTCTCATATCTAAAATATACTTAGAACTCAAAAACTAAATCCCCCAACAACAAATCTTCAAAGAAACAACTGCCCAATAAATAAGTGGGCTAAAGACTTAAAGAGAAACTTCTCTGAAGAGGAAATAAGAATGGCCAATAGACACAGGAAGAAATGCTCAACTTTAGCCATAAAAGAAATGCCATTCAAAACAACATTGAGATTCCACCTCACCCTATAATCAAGAAATCTAATAACAACAGATGCTGGAAGGGGATGTGGCCAGAAGGGAACCTTACTGCATTGTTGGTGGGAGTGTAAACTTGTTCAACCACTTTGGAAAGCAGTATGGAAGTTCCTCAAAAGACTACACATAGAGCTCCCCTATGACCCAGCAATCCCACTTTTGGGCATTTACCCAAACAATCACAAACAAGGCTATACTAAAGCTACCAGCACAACTATGTTTACTGCAGCATTATTTCATAGATATGGAACCAACCCAGATGCCCCTCAGTAGATGAATGGATCAAGAAAGTATGATATATATATATATATATACATATATTTATACACACACACACACACACACACACACAATGTAATTCTATACCTCCATCAGAAAGAATGCCCCATTTGTTAGGAAATAGAAAGACTTGGAAAAAAATTATATTAAGTGAAGTAAGCCAGGCCCAAAGAAACATAGGTCCAATGATTTTCCCTTATTTGCAATAACTAGTATAAGTCTAGGTCAAGCAGAAAAGGTCAAAAGCTATGTACATATGACCATATAAGATGATGGTAAGTGAAATGAACCCCAAGATAGGACACAACTTGTTTTTCCTTTCTTGCTATTGTTTTTAATGTATCTAAAATGTACTATGTGATTTTTTTTTGTTTCTTTTGTATTTTCTTTCCCCACAGTATAACCCCTGTTTTCACTGTATTTGGTGTTGGTGCCCTGCATTTTGTATATACCCTTTTCTAATTTGGGGAGGGGAAGGGAAAAAACAAAATGCTTAAACAGGGATACAGGCTGACCCATTGTAACAATGAGATGTACAAGACACTATGCTGAAAATGAACTTTACAACTTGGGGGGAAAGGAGGGAATTGGGGAGGTGGGGAGGGAAAGGATGGTAAAGGAAAAACAAAGGAGGAGGTTAACAATGCTCAATAGGAAATGTATTCTATTCATGTAACCGTAACCCCTCTGTACACTAATTTTACAATTAAAAAAAAAACATTAAAAAAAAAAAGATCTGGTCTAAATTTTCTAAGCTAAGAGCCTCCAGCCATACTACTTTCTAAGGCCTAACCAAGATAGGAAGACTTTTACAGAGGTTTTTGGAATAGCTCTATAAATCAATAATCCACTGCTCCCAGGTCTATAAAAGCTAGTTTACCAGTTTAAGGCAACTCTAGATGCAATAGTACAAGAATGGAAAAGGCATAATGTGAAGAATTTGACGATGAGTTAAGAGACCATGAATGATCATGCTGGCACACACCTGAAATCCCAGCACTCAGGAGGCTGTGGATAAGAGGATAGCAAGTTCCAGGCCAGCCAGGGCAAAATGACGTGACCCTAGTTCAGAAAACACATGATTTAACTGCACAGGAAAAGAATTTTCAGAATCTGTCGACTAAATCTTTACTGTTAACATAGATTGGACTTCTGACTCAGTCCTGTAAGTAAAAAGTGCTAATTCCACTGCTGACTAATATTCAGCAGATAGCTCTCAGTAGAAATTCTGAGACAAATGAGATCCCATCTTTCTTGACTTTCTATTAAAGACTTTACAGCAGATAAAGAATAAGGAACCTCATCACAGACCACTAACACTTGAACATGTAAAAAGAGCTTTAGGGGGAAAAAGAAGCAGAATAAAGCTCAGAATAAAATGCCCTTTTCATAAAACCAGATATCTGTGCTATAGTCAAATAAATGATGGAGACTGGACTCTTTTTCTAGATTTTTTTTTTCTCTCCCAACCACAATTTCTAAATTGGAAAAATAATTACCCAGAATCATATTTTTAAAAGGTAGAGAAAAAAAATAAATGTGTGAATAATAAACATGTTTTTAGGGGGAAATCAAGTGTACAATCTCCTGTTTTATCTTAAACTGAAAAAATGTTTAAGGCTTAAAACTAAGTTTAACTCTACAAATTAAAGGCCAATCCTATAAATGTTTTACTGACACAAGAACTGTAATGTCAACAGTGAACAGCACCTACAGGTACATAGACTCCCCCTCATAATCACCAAAACATTCAAATGTGGATGTTTCTAGATAGTAACTGCCCAACAAACACTTGGTCAACATTCTTTCCTCCTCTATGCTAACACATACACTACATTCAGAGGAAAAAACACAAATTCAATTATTAGAAATATACTCATTCTCAGAGCTTCTTACTTGATAATGTTAAAAGGCTGACTGTTCATAATAAGAACGTGTATTTACATCAAACTCAAATGGAAGGTCTTAAGGTACCAATCATCTTTTAGACAATGAAGATACTGGCAGAATTAGTGGTGTTAAACACCATGAGGGTTCAAAGTGACTAATCTAAACCTCTTTCCAAACTTGAATAATATCCTTATAAGACACAGAAACTAAAAAGGACTAAGACCAACAATCAAATACTTACTGTAAGAAGATCTCAGTGTTCATGGGGCTGGGAAGGTGGCTCAGTGGTAGAGCACTTGCTTTGCATGCTAGAGGTCCTGGGTTCGATTCCTCAGCCCCACATAAGCAAAAAGAAAAAAGCCGGAAGTGGCGCTGTGGCTCAGGTGGTAGAGCACTAGCCTTGAGCTGAAAAGCTGAGGGACAGTGTCCAAGCCCAGAGTTCAGGCCCCACGACCGGACCAAAAAAAAAAGATCTCAGTGTTCATTACCTTCCTATCCTCTCAGTCAAAATGCCTAGCAGGTGCTTTCAGGTCCCAAGAGATACTAATATCATAGGCATTTTCCCCACTTTCCTATAGCATTAAACCTAATTACTGTTTTATCTTTGGTGCCTCTAGAAGCTAAATATTTTTATCAATGTTCTACTTTCTTTCAGTGTTCCTTAAGTTCAAATACCAAATCCTTGTTTGACTTCTACTGAGAAAAGTCTATATATACATATGTGGAATGTTCCTAGAGTTCCCTCCTTCTCCAAGTCTCCAATCAACACCTCAAAAATGTTTAATTTCCCTTTGATTTTTACTTCTATTTAATGTGATTTTATGTTGTACTCTAAAAAAAAAAAAGGGCAAGATCCAAACTGCTCTATGTGTACTTCCTATTTTAGTTCAGAAAAGACAAAAAGTTTTCAATAACTTGTTACAATTCCTTCAATAAAATGCATTATCCAGGATGTGATTTATTCCAAGGAAGTAAATTCCTCACTCTATCAGCCTTAAAAATACATGTGGTGGGGACGGGGTGGGCAGGACGACAATTAGGAGAAAATGATAGGAGGGGTAACAAGTTTGAAAAGAAATGTACTTATTACACCTTACTTATGTAACTGTAACCCCTCTGTACATCACCTTGACAATAAAAAAAGAATGAATGAATAAATAAATCAGATTTCAACAGCAGCTATAATATCTTTCAGTACTGCACTGTTCTAAGGGGAAAGCTTGTTCTTTAGCTCTACACAGCATTGTGCTACCAGACAAACCCCTGACGTGCCCTCATTATTTCCCTGACTGCCCTGATCCTGGGAGGTCTGCTGTTCCCTGTGATTTTCCTTTCTCAGCACTGGAACTTGGTCTTTGTTGCAGAAGCATCCCAACTGACAGCAGAATCACAAGAAATTGTAACATTCTCTAACCCATGATAGAGTATATAGTAATCTGTCTCATCTTGCCAATTTCATCTTTAATAAATTTATAAATCACAATTCCTCTGTCTCATGACTGCAGGGTCTCTTGCTGTGAGTAGTACTAATGGTGTTAAGTGGGGACACAGGACTTGCCAAAAGTAGAAGTGTGGGCTTTAAAACCAAGACTTTAGGGGAGATAATACACCAGTTTTCTCGTGTCCTAATGCGCTTTTGTCATCTGCCACAATAACTTGCCCAAAGTAGTCCTGCTCTCAGAATAAACAAACATGGAGAAGACCTAAACCCATTTCCATAAGCTGAATCATTCCAAAGACCAATGAATCTTTCAGATTAGTTACACACACACACACACACACACACACACACACACACACACACACACACACACACACACACACACACACACACACACACACACACACACACACACACACACACACACACACACACACACGTCCAACCAGTCAGGCTGGGAAGGTGGCTCAGTGGTAGAGTGCTTGCCATGCATGAGGTCCTGGGTTTGATTCCTCAGCACCACATAGGCAGAAAAAGCCAGAAGTGGCACTGTGGCTCAAGTGATAGGGCACTAACCTTGAGCTGAATTGCTGAGGGACAGCATCCAGACCCAGAGTTCAGGCCCCACAACCAACAACATCAACAAAAAAGTTCAATCCATCAATGTAACAAATGAACCAGTAGTAAAGTAGGAAGCATGATCCCAATACCCAATGAAACTATAGAACCAATAAGATCCCCTATGCCCCTCTGAAGATTCTTTGCATTCTCCTAGGTCCAGGAATAAAAAGATTGCACTTTAGTTTATCTCTGGCCCTAGGGAAGCCTGTAAGACCAGGCAAAATAGGGAATACTTAAATCTCTAGTCTTATTTTTTCCCTAGAAACCTCTTATCCCATGAGTATTCCCTAGTACTAGTGGCTCTTGTTAATATAGAAACTCTCCTCTATCAATACTTTATCTCTGAGAAGCAAGAGAACCCAAAGGCAATCTTATTGAACACAGGCCCCACAATGTCGTTACTAGCATACAAAGAGCAAGATTAAAAAAAGAAAGAAAACAAATCTACCACTGACTTTGAGGTAGAGGTATATACCATGATTTTTATCATTACAGAATTGTAATTCTAACACTTAAGACAACCAGATTTTTGTGTTTTGTTTTGTTTCGCCAGTTCTCTTGAACTCCGGGCCTGAGCACTGTTCCTGGGCTTCTTTTGCTCAAGGCTAGCACTCCACTACTCGAGCCAATTTTCCACCCCTGGCTTTTTCTGTTTATATGGTACTGAGGAATCGAACCCAGGGCTTAGTGCATGCAAGGCAAGCACTCTATCATTAAGCTACATTCTCAGCCCCAAGACCACCAGATTTTAAATATTTAAGGTTATTTGCAAGTGAACCTATTTCTTATCACTTAATATTGATTCTCAGTCTCAAAGGCTTCTTTGAGATTAAGTCTGCAAGTAACAAATATCAAACTGGTTATAGTTAAAGTAGCTCAGGCATATGCTTCTGCAGGTTTACTAGTGTCCTTACTTACCATTTTCAAGAGGTGCATCCTCAGGCAGATCCACATCAAGCATAAGGTCATCATCCTCAAGGTCACATGATTCAAGATTATTCAGAATATCCTGTGAACAAATCCAGGTGAAAAAATTCACTATGGCCTAGCTCAAGGGACATATTAATTACAAATTTTACAAATATCACCATATAACTTTTGGGTCCTTGAGTGTATACTCTTTAAAGAGGATAGTAGGGCACTGACTCTCTCCTCTGTGTCACTGGCTTACTGACCATTAGGTGAATGGTTTTACTCTCCTATCAATCCTTCCAAGTTGTAATGCTTATCACAGACCCAATCATAGGGTCCAATAATTGTGGACTGGAACACCTCCTTTGAGCCCAAACATACCTTTTCCTTTTATAAGCCAATTATCGTAGGTATTTTGTTATAGTGATGATAATGTAACACAAATGACTTATTTAAAATGTGCTTTGTAACACTTTTTTCTTAGTCTTCCTCTTTCTTAGAATTTTTTCAAAAACAATGTTTATTTTCACAATTTCAAAAACTTACTATGTTCATATGTTAATATTTATTCTTATTCAAAATAACCTGTTATTTATTAATATGATTTTTGTATACTATAAAACTAAGGCAAAGAACTAGCTTAATAGGATGTAAACAGTGGTAATCTGATGCCTGTGTCCACGCTTTTAACAACTTCCTTGATACTATAATCAAAAATAGTAAAGAATCACTTGTGTAAGGCTGTTTCATAAATTCAAGAAATTGACTAGTTATGTAAAGTAGTTAAAATAGTCGGCAGCAACTCCTTATTTTGTTTCCTTTATCTTGTACCAAAGTCACCTCTTTCTATCTTCCATCAGTTGGTTACCACTTCCTAGGCTTGATTCAACATGTTCTTTTTCTGTGATAAGACTAGAGTATACCAACTAGTTTAAGCAACAGGGATCTATTTGAAACTTTATGAGCAACTGAATAGACAAAAATTAAGTTATGGTAGATTTTTGCAATGTAAGAACTAAAATCAGTATGGTAAAACTTCTACTTAAATTAAGTAAAAGGTTTCCAAATCCACTAAATTGAGATGATGGCCATGAAAAACACTACCAGAAGAGGAAGACTTATTTTATCACAGGTAATATGAATGAAATTACACTATTTCCTATGTCAGGTGTTCCATGCAGATATTTCCAATTTTTGTATTGTTGGGCCATCTGAGGACTACAAGCAACTAAAATAATAATAATTTTTTATAAAAATTTCTGAGTAACTACCTATCATTAGTTCAAGAAAGGACTATGTCCCGGAATCTCTTTCCATCACGAAAATATCCATTGTCCTTAATATATAGTCCTCACAAAAATCAAGTGAAAAGATGAATATAATAACAAAAGATGAACTGGCAATAGGTTTAACAATTTACAAGTATAGAACAAGTATCTCAGTAAATAGAAAAGAATGCTAAATCAATATTGATTTATCACAAAGAATCTTGCTTTCATCTATACTAGAGAACAGAATAGGTTCACACCTACTTTCTAGAGTTCAGTTTATCAAAATTTAGGCTCAAGCCTTTTTAAAATAATAAAATTGTCCTCCCTAAGATTTTATCCTTTAGAAATAGACAAGTGAATAAAAATGTATGTATAAAAGTATGGTTATTGTTCAGAACTTCAAAAGAAAAATGCCTAAATGGCTAAAGAGAAGTACACAAAGTATGTTGTTGCTCTTTAAGTGATAAAAAAATATAATAAATATGGAAAGGGATTAAGTAAGGGAATAGCTAATTAGGTTATTTTTTAATCTTTGCTTTTAAAAATAATGTTTCATATCTGGCCAGTACATGTGAAGAGAATTTCCTTTTTTTTCTGGCTGAACACAATCTGTATATATACTCTAGTCAGGCCTTCCCCAAGTTTGTCCCCTTCTACTGGCTAGGGGTGTGAAGGAAGATCCCCCCTAGCTCATTCCTAATAATGTTCTTTTTCTTTTTGAGACAGTTCCATACTTGAATGCTAAGATAGATTGGATTTCATTATGTGGCCTAGGCTACCTTTTGAACTCATGATCTTCCTATCTCAGCCTCCCAAGTGCTGGGATTATAGGCATGCTCAGCTATAACTTTTTTTTTAAGCATTCTTGTATCAGAATCAAGTGCATGTGCGGGAGTGGATTGTATATTGCACTGAGATTAAAGGTTAATGGTGAGCATCAGGGCACAGACTGGCACTTGAATTTTAACCCTTTTCAGGAAATTATTTAAAAATTTCTGGTTCTCAAATGAGCATGATAGTAATAAAGGTGTCAAACTAAAATAAATAAAAATAATAATGCTTCATTCACACTAGGAAGTAGAATAGTGGCTATAAGAGACTGCAAAGGGAAATGGAAGATGGAGAAAGAATGGTTAATAGGTACAGGTATAGCACAACAGGGTACCTATATTTTCTAATATTGAGTTCTATATTTCAAAATCACAATCTACTTGTCATTTCTACAATGACTTTAAATGTCCCTAACCCAAAGAAAAGATAAATGCTTAAAATGATGGATATACCAGTGACTCTGATCTAAATGTACTAAAATGTACTACATGTACTAAAGTGTACTAAATGTACTAAAATGTCACAATGTACTTCACAAATACACACAATGTGTGCCAATTAAAAAGTAGGTCTTTTTTTTTTTGTTCTTTGTAGGATTTTGTTTTGTTTTGTTTTGTCAGTCCTGGGGCTTGAACTCAGGGCCCGGGCATAGTCTTGGAACTTCTCTTGCTCAAGGTTAGTGCTTTACCACTTGAGCCACAGCGCCACTTCCCACTTTTTCTGTTATTTGGTACTGAGGAATGGAACCCAGAAATTCGTGCATGCTAGGCAAGCCCTCTACCACTAAGTCACATTCCCAGCCCTAAAATGTCTTTTTTGTTTGTTTGTTTGTTTAAGGACACATTCTTTAAATTCTTCACTAAACTTCAGGTCAAAAGCAAATTAAACAAGTAATCAGACTATGTATCAAGTTAACAGTATAATGGGCCAGAAAATTTGTGAAAAATCCTCAACTACTTTTGGTAATTATATTATGGGTCATACTACTGGAACTATTATTGTGAAACGGTTCTGTAGATATGAATATAGAGGGGATATATATGTATATATTTGTGTGTATACATATTGCATATGCATTCATACACATACATAATTTATAAAATGAAAAATCAGAATGCTTATTATAGAAAATTGAGAAAACGAAGGTACTCTAACAAAAAGGAAACCCCTCCTAATTCTAAAATGAGAGTTAATCTGCATTTTTATTTCTGTTCAACTTTTTTCTATACATGTCACAATGCTTTTATTGCATAAAATGGATAGTTCTACATAAATTGTTTTATGGGCTTGCTTTTTGTAAAGTTAGTACCTAATACTTCTCAGTAGAGAATGCTTTCTTGAACAACTAGTATAAAAATAACAGTTTTATTAGTTGTATTCCATAGAAAAGCTTCATGATGAAGAAAGTCTTCATTTGCAACAGTAGGAAATTTCAATCAACTAAGCCCAACCTACCTACCTACCCATGGGAAACTTCAACCTGGCCCATCTCCTAACCACAATAAAATCCAGAGTTTGCTACCCTTCCTCACATAGTCACTCTAGATTCCTTTCAATGCCTATCTTCCTCTCCCCATAAAATCTCACTGTGTTAGGAATAAATTGATTGATCTTTTCGCTCTTGGTATAAATGTGTCACCGCCAGTCAACATCTAATCAGTTTTGGCAACCACAGACACTCTGAACAATTTTACAAATGAAATACCAAATAAAAACAGGTAAAAGGCTGAAGAGTTTTAAGAAACTGCTAATTAAGATTTGAATTAAACAATATTATTCAATGCACAGAATGGACTTAAGCAGGACAGAGAAACAGTTTTATGGTTATTGTAAATCCCATGTAACAAATGACAATGGCCCTATTGGTGTTAGTGAGAATAAAGACCAAGTGGGGTGGGGTTTGTTTTGTTTTCTATTTTACTGTGTGTATGTGTGAACGTACATGCACATATGCCAATACTGGGGCTTGAAGTCAGGACCTCATGATATCACTTGCATTTTTCATTCAAGGCTCATGCTCTACTACCTGAACCACAGCTCCATTTGCAGCTTTTTGCTAGTCAATTGAAGAATCTCATACTTTCCTGCCTAAGCTGGCTTCAAACCTTGATCCTCAGATCTCAGCCTCCTGAGCAGCTAGGACTGCCACAGACATGAGCCACCAGCACCTGGCGAAGACTAAGTGATTTTGAGACATACTAAGAAGTTAGAATATGTAAGATCACATTCAACTAGTAAGTAAGCAACAATAAGTCCTTAGATACCTAGTTTTGAAACAGATATGACATCTATTCATTGAAATAAAGCATAATAAGAAAGACTAGTCCCATGAGAGCTAAAACAATAAAATAAAAAGCAATGAAAGCCCCCCCAACACAATATATAGTTTGGAAACACAATAATTTTGATGTGCCTTTAGCATCTTTGAGAACACATGTCAAGTAGATAGTTGAATATAGAAGCTTAGAGTTGAGCTTGATGTAAGAGATTCATTAACAAATAGATGACAGATGGAAGATGCTGAGTAATGAGTTTGTCTCAAATATTACTGGGCCTTACAATTAGGATTCAGGAAAAGGAGAGGAAGCAATTTTTTCTTCACCAGTTTAGAAATCATCTACACAGAATGGGAGCTACATTATTACAGGAAGAGAAGATGCCATGTGGTATAGTAGAGACTGGTTAATGTGGGAAAGTTTCTGTCTCATGTTTGTTACTGCAGCTTCAGAATCTAACTTGGAACACCTGCACTTGTTCAGAGCCAATATCCTCTTACATCTGTTTTAGTTAGCTGAGTATGACAATGAAAATTAAATGTGCAATCTGTGGCTTCTAGAGGCCTCAATGGAATTAATGCTTTGAGCACTTATTAAGAGAGTTACCACAGTACTTCCTTGGTCCCTGAAAACACTTTTCCATTCAAGTAGAATGAACTTGGAGGTGGTGAATCATTGCTGCATACTTCGTCTCCATTGTACATTGCAGAAAGCTTATT